CATACATGCTCTCTCTCTCATACATACACATACATACACACACACACACACATGTTTTGAGACAAAGTTTCTGTGCAGCCCTGGCTGTCCTGGACTCACTCTGTAGACCAGCTGGCCTGGACCTCGCAGAGATCGGCCAGCCTGTGCCTCATGAGTCCCAGCCCCTGTCTTAACTAACCTACAGCTCTCACTACTTCTCACTTACAGGAAGCCGGTTAAAGCTCGACCTTCGGCGTTCCGAGCCTCCTCCTCTCCTCTTGCCCTTTGGGGCCATTCTTAGTGAAAACAAGGGTCATTAGAAAAGAGCCCAGAAAGTAGCTCAGTGAGGTCAGGTGCGGCTGAGACACTCTGCAAACAGGTGACTCAGCTCAGGAGGGAGGGAGGCCAGGTGAGTGCGTTCTCTCCGGGAGGCTCTGGGAGTGCTGCAGCCCCAACACTGAGGAAGATGAGGTAGGAACTGAACTCCAGGCCTCCTGGGCTACAGAGTGAGGCATGTATGTCAGCCCTCCCCAGGCCTTGGGTTCAAATCCCAACACCAAATGAGCCAGGCTTGCCGGTGCTTGCCTGTAATCCCAGCACTGGGTGTGTGGAGGCAGAATGACCAGAAGTTTAAGGTCATCCTCAGAGACATAGTGAGTTCTAGGCCAGCCTGGGATACATGTTTGTTTGTCTCCCCAAAACAACACAACCCCCCACCCCCATGATTGTTTCTGGAATTTTCTGCTTGATACTTGCAGGCTTGACGTTGATTCCAAGTAGTAACCTACGGAAGATGCAGCCTCAAATGGGAGGCCGGCTACTGAGGAATTTAGCGCCCCGCGTTCAACGCAGGGGAGGGGAGGGCCTGAGAGCGCTGGGGTCTGCTGAGGAGGTTCGACCCGATATGGCATTCTGCCGCCAGGCGGCGCTGCTCCGAGGAGCCCGGCAGCCGCCGGCCGGAGCCCGACCTTCCACCAGGGGGCGGGGGGCTCCAGAGAGGCTCTTCCCGGCCGGCCGGCCTGGGGACCAGGTCTCCGAGAGGCGCCCGGCCCCAGGTCTCTGCCCAGCGACTGATGACGCCGCACTCTGCCCCTCTGCGATTGGTTTAGCGGAAGGAGGCGGCTACTGGAGATGCCCGGTGGAAAGCTGTGGCTCTGGACGGGAGCGGGGCCCGAGATTCCAGCCGCTCACCGAGGGTGTGAAGGTATGGGCCGTGAGCAGAGGCCGGGGGCCGGGCTGCTGAGGCTGCTGCAGCTGCTCTGGCTGCTGCCCCGCTGCTGGGCGGTGCCCGACGGTAAGAGCCCGGCTCTCCGGGGTCCCCGCGGCAGCCCAGCCCGGGGAACGCCGCAGTGGGGACCGGGGCGCCGGGAGGGGCCCTGTGGCGGAGCAACGGTGGCAACCTGCGGAGGGGGTCTGTGGGCTAGCCGCTTCCCAGAAGAAAATGGGACAGAAATGACAGAGCTGGGGTTTGAACACAGTAAGAGTAAGCGCAGCCGCGGGTGCCGGCGCGGGGCTGTATCCCCAGCGCTCAGCAAGCCGAGTCGGGAGTCCAGGGGCAGCCTCGGCTACACAGCAAGACCCAGGCTCCAACGCCCGCGCCGTAAGGATCCTCCCTAGGCTGTCAGCTCGCCGTCCTGACACGTGCCTCAGTTTCTTCTCTGGGGCGGCTGGGGCGGGCTGTAAGAGCGACCGGGAAGGCCCCCTCGCGGTGTGTTTGTTATTCTGGGTGTGTCTGGGGGATTGCAAAGCGGGTTGTTATTTCCTGCAGCCGGGGTTCCGGTCCCCCAGTTCTGCCCGTGCGAGGTCGGGACTGTTTACCTCGGGAAAGAGTTGTCAGAGAGGCCAGCTGCCACGGAGGTGGCCGAGAGACTGGCTCACTTAACACTCGTGTCTGGGGGAGCCTGGGGCCACGTCATTCCGGCTCAGGGAGGCCACGGCCCTTGCCCACACCCCTCAGGGCCAGAGTCGCATCGTGCCTCCTGCATCAGACCGAGGTGCCGCTGGGCTGGGCCCGGGGCTTGGTGAGGAGTCCAGGCTGTCTCCGCGGCCCTGCCCTGGAGCAGCGTGCACACACAGCCAGCCGAAGAACCTGTTGCTTCCTTTGCAGACTTTTGCTTTCTTTGTTTCTTTGTGGTTTGACTTTTTTTTGACTCGCCCGCCCTGGGCTGGCTGTATGGAGCGGAGGGTGATTTTGGACTTCTGATGCCCTTCCTTCACCTCCCAAGCCCTGGCACCGCAGGGGTGCGTCACCATGCCAGGCTCTGTTCCTTACAGGCGCAGACGGTCGCTCCTTCACGTGTCAGGAAGCTTGGGAAGATCCCTTCACTTCTCTCTCTCCCCGACTGGGAGAAGGGGCCTAAGCAGCAGGTGTAGGCGGGGCCGGGCCGTATTCCTATTACACCCCAGAAGAGAAACCTCACTGTTTTCTACTTTAAAGAGAAAGTGTGTGTGTGTGTGTGTGTGTGTGTGTCCCCGTGTCTGTCTGTCCGTCTCAATCCCTGACCGCACTGTCTCTCCGCAGCGCCGACCCCAGTTCGGTGGGACAGCCCGAAGAACCACACGTTCCGGCACACTGTCTTCTGCCAGGACCGGGAGCCCAGCATTGGGCTGTCTGAGAGCTACGATGAAGACCAGCTGTTCTCCTACGACTTCCAGCAGAACAGCAGGGTGCCCCGGCTGCCTGACTTTGCCCAGTGGGCTCAGGAACAGGGAGATGCTGCCGCCATTTCATTTGACAAAGACTTCTGCCAGCTTCTGGTCCGGGAAGTGAGCCCAGAGGCTGAAGGGCAAATCCCAGTGTCCAGAGGTCAGGGCCAAGGAGTGGAGCTTGTAGGCTGCAGCCTTACTCCCCCAAACTTCTTCACGTTATCTCGCTTCTTTCACATCTCCTTGTTCTGCTTGGAGTTCTTCTTCTCTTTCTTTCCCTTTTGAAAACATTTATTTATCATGTATACAATGTTCTGTCTGGACACCAGATCTCATTTATAGATGGTCCCGAGCCACCATGAGGGTGCTGGGAATTGAACTCAGGACCTCTGGAAGAGCAGCTAGTGCTCTTAGCCTCTGCACCATCTCTCCAGCCCAGCTTGGAGCTTTCCTTTTTCACGTTAACCCTTCTCCCATCATCCCCAGCTACCGTCTGTGCCCTGTGTGTTGCTGTGGGAGGGAGGGTTGGAGGCTCTGAAAGTCTATTGAGTGTGAGGAAGTTGACTCCACTGCATTCAGCATTCACATCACACGCCTGCAAGGTGGCGGGATGCGCTTGTGAGCCAGAGGCCGGCCTGGCTCTGGATGAGAAGTCTAGGCAGAGGGGTCCGCACAGGGGCCTAGCTGCAGTTTCTGCCTGGAAGACCCTTCTTGGAGCCCGGGTGTCTCTCTGTCTGGGTCGGCCCCTTCTCTGTCCTCCCCTCCAAACAGTGGCACTCTCTAAACTTGTCCCCTCTTTCCCTGGCACCCCCCCACACACCCAGGCTTGCCGATAGCTGAGGTGTTCACACTGAAGCCCCTGGAGTACGGCAAGCCCAACACGCTGGTCTGCTTCATCAGCAACCTCTTCCCACCCACCCTGACGGTGACCTGGGAGCACCGTTCCGCCCCCGTGGAGGGAGCCAGCCCCACGACCATCTCGGCCATCGACGGACTCACTTTCCAGGCCTTCTCTTACTTAAACTTCACACCGGAGCCCTTTGACCTTTACGCTTGCATCGTGACCCACGAGATTGACCGTTACACAGCAATCGCCTTTTGGGGTGAGGCCCTTTCCCCCGGAAGTCTGGTTCTCTGAGGGGCAAAAAGGCCCAGGCCCGTGGGAGGGGCACTCCTGTGTTACTTGGATGTCCTCACTCTAGCCAGCTTCAAGCTTCCATGCCTCAGTTCTCCCTCATTATCCCAGATACCCAAGTCCCCTTGGGCAGACTGCTCCCTGTTGAACCTCCAGGCTGACCTCGCCCTTTCTGCTCTAGTGCCCCAGAATGCCCTGCCTTCGGATCTCCTAGAGAATGTACTGTGTGGTATGGCCTTCGGCTTAGGTGTCCTGGGTATCATCGTGGGCACTGCCTTCTTCGTCCACTCCTGGAGACCTTGCTCAGGTGGTAAGTCGCTCGGGAAGGTGAGGGAGCGAGGTACAAGAGCGCCAGTGTGGGTGTGCCAGGATTCTCCTCTGGTGTGGGAGCCTGTGTTCAGCATGCTGGGGCTGCATCCTGCAGTTATGGGGGACCCTGTCACGCCCGGTTATGGGGGACCACAGACACAGCTTTGAGTGGGGGACAGGGTGACCAGGGACTTGTGAGGAATGTGCTTGGAGGGGACTTGAGAACAAGCAGAGTTAGGACTCAGTTGGGTGTGCTGTGAGCTGAGGGGATGCTTTAGGGAGGAAGGCGGCCCTTCTGGTGACTTCCCTTCTCCCTGCTCTCTCCTCAGGCTGACTCTGCCAGAGCTTGGGGGACAGCGCTGGTGTCTGTGCCTACCCAGGGTCTCTCCTCCGCACAGAGGTCCCTGGGATTCCTCGGGGTGTGTGCCGGTGTTCAGGGGACTCCGCTGAGGTTCTGCTGTCCCTGGACTTGCCTCCAGAAGAGCTTGATCAGGAGCCCAGGACACCAGCCTGCCACCACCTCACACCTTCTCTCTTCCAGGAAATAAACCTTATTTCTTAACATCAGCGTGAATGCTCCCTTGCCACACTGGGAACACTAGGCAAGCCTTCTACCGCTGAGCCGCGCCCCAGCCCACTGTGCCTTCACTCCTGGAGTCTGCTTCTGGATCCCTGTCCCAAGTGGCTTGTCATTTCAGATTCAGCACACCTTGACCTGGACACGGCTCATTAGGGAGGGAAATGAGAAAGCCCCTCCCCTCATCAAGCTCCTGTTCCCTGATCTCAGCGTGGCTGACGGTGCCTTTTATTCCATCAGCTTGTGCAAAATCCACGGGAGAGGGAGGCAGCTTCCCAATAAGTACTAGGAAAATGGTTGAGGAAATTGCATGTGTTTTTTTTGATCCCCCCACTCCCCTCGTCCCATCCTCCCTTTCCCCTGTGTTCTCCCCTCCCCCACCTCCATACTCTGTTGCCAGTGAAGCTGTTTATGGCTTATGCTCCCCCACCCCTGGGTACCTGGGAAAATAGGAACACAGGGTCCTAGCTGCAGTTTCTGCCCGGAAGATCCCTCTTGGAGCCCGGGTGTCCTCTCTGGGTTGGCGCCATCTCTGTCCTCCTCTCCAAACAGTGGCACTCTCTCAACTTGCCCCTCTTTTCCCGGCACCTGCTCCCCCCAGGCTCACCTGTGTTCCCACTGGGGTGTTCACACTGAAGCGCAGCCTCCAGCTGCTCCTGGTAGCTCTGACCGGTTCTGCGCCCACACTCTGCGGTGAAGTGGGAACAGCCCTGGAGGGCAGAGGAGCAGGGTGCTTCCACCAACCTCGGCAGCGGCCTCAGGAACTCTCCTAGGGCAACTGCTGGGCACTGCCCAGCAGACGGAGGGAGCCTGGCACCTGGCCGCTGCTGGTGGGCTGCTGCACACACATTCTGTTCTTTGCTTTCTGTGGGATCCGGAGCTGCTGTGGAGCTGCCTAAGGCTAGCCCAGAGAGTTAGCTTGGTACTGGTAAGGCCATCTCCGTTTTTCATGTTGAATCAGTCTAAGAGACGTCAGGTAGTTCTTCCAGGCGTCGGCTCTTCCTCGACCACGTCATTTCCAAGAGCACAGTGTGTGTACATATAAAGACAGCAGGAGTGCGTGTCAGAGTGTGCTCTTGGCTGAGTGACGTGCTAAACCCGTGCCCCCGTGTCGGTTTTCCGTAAAGGATCATAACAGTGATGTTCGCGTCCCCTGGAGAGCTGTTGTAAGCCCAGTGGTTACTTCTTCCTTTTTGTGATGCTGTGTCTTCTCTGTTTTCCATATGCGTGTGCACGTTTTTGCACGTGTGTATGGGTGCACAGCCGAGTGGGAGGTGGGGACCAGGGATCCGCCACCCTCCGTCGGTCTTCACCCTGTTCACTGTGGCAGGGGCCCCCTTCGGACCCAGAGCTCACCCACGTGGCTAGGCTCGCTGGCCGGCCTGCTGAGTGCTGCCTCCTGACTTGACTTCTGAGGCTGGGGTTATTAGCGGCCTCCATGTCTTCCTGGCCTTTGGGCCATCGGATTCAGGACCTCAGACTTGTGTGCCAAACACTTTAACTGCCCGTCCATCTCCCCAGCCCCTCATGCATGCTGGGTAAATGCTCTAACCACTTATCAGCACCCCCAGGCTTCTGTGAATCTTAGCCCCTGTAGAATGCTGAGAACAGTGTCGTGTGGAGAAAGGGCAGGGTGAGAGCATTGTCACCATTTGTCTGTGCCACAGAACCTAGTGACACCAGAAACTTCCTTCTGCCTTTAATTTTTTTTACTTCTTAAAAACTTGTGGGGTGTGTGTGTGTGTGTGTGTGTGTGTGTGTGTGTGTGTATGTTTGCCCTGCCTATTACCACATACAAGCCTGGTGCCTTCAGAAGCAAGAAGGCAGGAGCCCTCCTGGCCCTGGAATCATACCTGGTTTTAAGCAGCCGTGCACACACTGAGGAGCAAACAAGAGTCCCGTGAGAGCCATCTCTCAGCTGCTGAGCCATCTCTTACACCCTTGACGCTATCTTCAGCTTTGTTTTTCTCCCTTGGAGATGCTTTTTGGTTTTATTCCCAGTTTGTCTCTGTGGGTCTGATCCATATCAAGTTCTAAAATTTTCTAGTTTCTGCTCTACTTCAGTTGGCAATTTCCTGCCAATCAAAACTTAAAACTATTTTATTTTTTTATTACAAGGTCTCACCTTGTAATATGACTCTGACCAACCTGGAACTTAGCAGGTAGACCAGGCTGACCTCAAACTCACAAGAGATCTGCTGCCTCTTCCCTAATTCCAGCGCTTCCATTAAAGACACAGCGTCTTCCTGGATTTTCGCCTGTCCCGTGCTGGCTCCAGCTTGGCTCAGGTGTGGCTGAAGTGATCCCCCTGCCTCCACCCCCAGCTCCTGCCATTACAGGCAAGCACCACCCTGCTTGCCGCTCTCATCAGCGGATTCTTACTTGAATCCAAGTAAGAGCCAGGCCGAGCCTGCTCCGCTGTGAGACTGAGTGCAGTTGGGTGCAGCATGCCAGGGTAACATAACCTGGGGCATCAAGGGCGTCTTTGGCCTGTCTCCTCTTTTCCTTTTCTTTGAGTTGAAGCCTCCCGGAGCCCAGGCTGGCCTTGGACTCTCGTTGTAGGTGAGGATAACTTTGAATTCCTGGTCCTCCTGCCGCCACCTCCAACTGCTGGGATTGCCTGGATGGGCCTCTTCTGGAGCAGAAATGCTGCCCAGAAGGAAGTCCATCCCGGGCAAACCTCATTTGTCCTTCTTGCTTGGTGGCGCCATGCTTGTTTTCCCCGCTTGTTTCCCACCTCAGCCACCGAAGGTCCGTCCACACCCAGCTCCCGCCCCTCCCTCCTGGCCCTCCTCTATCTTAAAATTTTCAGACACGGACTTTTCAGGGTTCACTTTCTTGTCTCCTGATAATTTTTCACCAACAGGTTTGTGATTTTCAGTTCCGAGGTCAGGGAGAGGCTGTCAGTCAAGGCGGCTGCCTTTGTCCACACCAGCACCAGGCGCTTGGCGGTGAGGTGGGTGCTGGCAGGGTCTCACTCACTGGCTCTCCGTGTATGGATCGTGAGCCGGCGCTCTTCCACGGGTTCCTTTCTCTGCCAGTTATTGATGTAGACTTTTTTTTATGCCAATTTTGCCATTTTGAGACAGGAGCTCTCGTAGCTGAGACGACCCTGGACTCCTGATCCCTGGCTCCAGTCTCCCCAGTGCCAGGACTTCAGGGCTCCGCCACCTCATCACACCGTTTTGTCAGTCCTCAAACTGTATTTTCAGCTTTTTCATGTGATTTCTGGGGACATAGAATGGATGCCGAAAATGCCTTCTGCTGGGCATCATGGTACACACTTATAATCCTGGCACCAGGGGGCTGAGGCAGGAGGATCCCCAAAGTTCAAGGCCATTATGGGCTGCATGCTGAGGCTCTGTCTCAACAAACAAACAAAACCTCCCAAACCAAAGCCAACAACAACAACCATTCCAGCTGGCTGTTCTCCAGTGAAACCTACATACAGTTGATTTCTTTCCTGAACAGAATTGTTTAGTTTCAGCTGTCAGACCCCTGTGGACAAATGATGACTGATCCAGCATTTTTTTTTTTTTTCTCTGTCACAAAATGGGGCCTTGAATGAAAACCATCTGCTCAGAAGAGGAAGCTGAGAGCTACATAGAATGAATTTAGGAACCGCCTAGAAGAGAGTCCTATGGCTAAGGCCGCACCCCCAGGGAAAACGCAAGGCCACGTGGGACGGTATTGATACTGGCACCTGCTTTTGTTTACGATAGCTCCATCCCCTTGTAGAGGCGACGGCACCTTCCAGGCTTGGGAGCAAAGGTCTGCCTCCGTGGCCGCTCCACACCGGATGCCCTGCCCACTGGCTGTGGTGACTTCTCTTCCCTCCCTTTAAGCCCTCTGGCCTTATTGCTAAGTAGCGGCGACATCAAGTTTTCTCCCACTTCCTCCCTGGCCTCAGATGGGAAGACGTGGGGGCGGGGACCCCATCTTTCTCAGGTGTGGCGGTTGGTCCCCTGGAATGCCTGGGGCATTGATAAACCCCAGCGTTAGCCGCTGCGGGCCTGTGGGACCCGGGCATGTGGACAGGCAGGAGGAGAGAGGAGGACTCGAGGTGCGGGTCTGCAAGGTGGCCTTCAAAGAACGGCTCGCGGGACCCTGGCTGGGGGTCCTGCTGCCGCGAGGTGGTGAAGTGATGGCGGCGGGGCGCTAGGCGTGGGAACACCCTGTGAGGACGAAGCTGCACGCGGCAGAAGCCTGGGGACGAAGGAGCCGCTTGGCCGAGCACAGTCTCCGGGGTTCCCCGTTCTGCCCCTGACAACCTCCCTCCGAGTCCACATGAACATGGAAGTGAAATCTTCTCCTCCTGCTTCCTGCGGGGTCTCACGAGGTTTCACATCTCCTTTGGCTGCCGGAGTGGAGAGCCAGACACCAGAGGGAACTCCGCCGGGCCTCGCCGCCGGGTCACGCCCACGTGGGTGCAGGAAGCCGCGCAGCGGGGCTTCTCTGGGGGCTGCAAGTGGGTGTGGGGTGCGGGGGGACCCGATTCCTGCGAGGGAGGGAAGGCAGGCCGAGGCTGGGAGGCACGCCGCGCTCAAGCTGGCAGAGGCTGGGCTCCAGGAGCAGGAGGGCGTGCCGTGGGGGGGGGGGCACGGGGGGGAGGGGCACACTGCGGCTCCCCGCTTCCTCCTCTTCTCCGGCTGAAGGGCCACCAGCTTCTGCTGTCTGGGGTTCAGCCCAGCCCGGGAGGAAGTGAGTGAGCGGGTGCGTGTGGCGGGCATGTGCGTGTGTGCTGTGTCCGTGTGTGAGCACGTGTGTGTGCGTGCGTGTCGGCGTGTGCGTCTGTCATAGTTCATGTGGTCAGTTCAAGACTTTGCGTGTGCGAGAAGAAGCTATCAGCGTGGGGTTCGCGGCTGGAGGGAAGAGGCAACTCCCTCTAAAATCCCTCCTGTTGTGTATGACTCTGCGTTGAACGGGAGACAGCTCAGTTGGTAGTGCGCTGGCTGCGGAAGCCTGAGTGTCTGAGTTCAATCCCCAGGACGGACACACACACACACACACACACACACACACACACACACACACACACACAC